TTAAATTCCAGTGAAATATATTTATGTTTGTGGTTGTAATGTGACAAAATATGGAAAAGTTCAAGGGGTATGAATATGAGACCAAAATTGAACTTTTTGGCCACAATGAATATGAATGTTCTTGTTTCCATCAACCTGCATCAAATCACTTTTCCTCATTTCACTGCTTCAAGTCCATTACCTGGCAGTTTATCTTCTTTTCTGCGCGTGCTTTCTGCTTTTCTGTTTGATCTTTTTTAAAACTGCACCTGAACCTCGTCATGGTTTTAGCTTTGTTTTTTTCTCTCCTCATTTCCTGTCCCTCCAGGACGGGGTTTTTATCAAAGGTTTGTTCCTGGAGGGGGCAGCCTGGGACAATCTGAACTCCTGCCTGGTGGAAGCTGGACCCATGCAGATGATCTGTCCCTTTCCCACCGTCCACTTCAAAGCTGTGGAAAACCACAAGAAGATGTCCAAGAGTGAGTCGTTCAGGACTTATTTGATTGTTCGTTTTTGTTTTTGCATCAGTGTGCTGCCACTGTGTCCTGTATCTGTACCTGTGCCCGTGTTACTACTTCCCAGTGCGGCTGAACGGGCCGGGCAGCCATCTTTTATTATCGGCGTCCAACTAAATTCTGGAGACAAGAGTCCGGATCATTGAATGAAGAGCGGAATGGCTCTTCACATGAGTCTGGACAACAAGAGAGGTTTTCCTTTAGTTTGGTTGTTTATAAGTTGTTCACTGTTCTTGTTTTTTAACGTTAAAGTGCAATTTTAAAGCAAACAAGTCATTTTTTTTGTCAGTTAATCCACGTTTTCTTCCATTCTCTGGTATTTGTTCACCAATAAATCTGTCCGTTTTTGCATCAGGGGCGTAGTAGTTTGTATTTATGGATTACTTCCTGAGAGGTCCAGTCAGATGAACACAAACGTGTCCGTCACTGCGGACAGAAATAAGAGAGCGGAGGAGAAACTTGGACCCGTTCAAACTTATGAATTCTAATTACGCTCAGTGAACAAGATGTTGTGGAGGCGCTCAGTCGGCGCTGCGTGAGAGAAAGAAGGCCCCGGACTTCCCCGCTGGAAGGAACTCAACCCAAAACCCCTCTGAAAAGGAGGGTGAGAGGAAAAAAACAAAGCAAGAGAAGAACCCTGGAGAAAGAAGGATCTAGTAATGAGAGAGAGGGGGGGACTAGTAAAAAAAGGGGGTAGGTGCAGTTCAAGGTTGTATTCAGGAATAAGGATTGTCCTCCTCTGAAAGACCAAACACAGACTTCCTCAGGGTTTAAGAGCCTCTTTATCAGACCCAGGTCTCTGAGTGTGTGAGTGTGCACACTGGTGGTCTCCAGTTGGTGGGAGGTGGAAAGGGGGCAACGTGCTGAATTCAAATTCAAATGGGCTTATTCTCTGGTCTGCTTGTGACAAATATAAGACTTTCAGCTGAACTGGAATGTAAATGTGGAGAGAAAGAATTTTACTTGTAAAAAGAGTACAGTATGATCTGGAGCTCTTTATTCCAGAGTGATACAAAAAGTTTACTAAAAAACACTATAAAACTTTAATAAACCATCTCCTGTTGATCTTGTACTTAAATTAAATGTTCTGCTTTTCATGTATGGCAAGCTATTGCAGCACATAATCAAACCACACTGTGATAGTCTATTTAAAAGTGATGTTATGCCACGTAGTTACGAATATGATTTGATATTGTTGGCTAGCCATTAGCCTAGCCTGGACAATGACTTTTACCCTTTTCTTTGTGCCCTTGTCACAACTCACGAGGTACTCTCTACTAATAAATATTTTACAGAATATCACTTTTTTTATTTATTTAATTTATTTATTTCAAACATGGAAAACAAAATAAAACAATGATAAAAAATGATAATAATGAAATTAACATATTTGAAAAGGAATGGGAAGAAGTAAAAAAACTTATTTAATCCCACCCTTCTTC